TTGGTGCACCCGCCGGAGCCGCTTTAATGCACAAGGGGCAGCACAGACCCGCACAGGGAGCAAGATGGTAACCTGAGCCCACGTGGCTGCAACCACGGCTACGTTGACCCCAATGCCTGGGACACCATCCACCATGCCTGCATCAACACCCTCCATGCCTGCATCATCGTCACCACCTCCCACTGCGGCCAGCCTGTCTTCCAGTGCAATCCGTCCACCTCCTACAGCAGCTTCACTTCCTCAGTCTTTTGTGTGCTGTTGCCAGGGTCGACCACTGTCAGCGGCCACAGTTCAGAAAAAGAAACACACACGTAAATCAGTCCGCATAGTCGAGGATGATGAGGTAGCAGGGCCATCCCAGGAGACAGAAACAAACAATAAGGAGATGGGAGCAGGGCCATCTAAAGAGTCAGAGGATGAAGCCATTGTGACCACACAGTCTTTATCCCTGAGGGGCCTACATGAAATCCATGGAGACTTCAGCTGCTGCCCAGGTGAACATATCATGAGCTGGCTGCTCTGCTGCTGGGATAATGGGGCCAGTAGTATGGAGCAAGAGGGGAGAGAGGCTAAACCTCGGGGCTAAACATCTGGGATCACTTGCCAGAGAAGGGGGCATTGATAAAGCCATTGGATGTAGGCCACAAAACATCAGCCTCTGGAAACAACTGACCAGTGTGAAGGAGGGGTACCCTTTTAGATAAAGTATGCCACAACAGCTACGCAGATGGACTAGGATGGAGAAAGGCAGCCAGTATCCAAGAGAACTTGCAGTGCTGGAGATCGTTTACCGGGACCCAAACAACCCTGGAGCATCTACCAACCCAGACAAAGTTTACTGCACTAGACCCATGTGGCAGAAGTTAATGCGGAGTGCACCACCCTCATATTCTAGTGTGCTCTCAATAACTTGTAGAGAGGATGAGGCACCAACTGTAGATTAGATGATTCACAGATTCTGGGAATATGAGGAAAGTCTCTCCTCCCCCATACAGGCCTGTGTCTCAGCTGTGGAGAGCATATCTCAAGAGTTTAAGGAACTCCAAGAGGAGATGTTCTGCTCCCCACCTCCACGGGCCAGTGTCTCAGCTATCAAAAACAAGTGTTCCTCTGCTCCAAGAAGGGAATACAACAGGTATACCTCATGGCTTACCCTGTGGTTTTACCTGACAGACAACAGAGAGGACATGAGGAGGTGGGATGGAAAACCTACCTCTCTCCTGGAGGAAGGAGTAAATGAACTGAAAGGAAAAAGATCTACTAGTGTGGACTCTGTCAGAAAAGTTGCTGCTTCCGTAGCTAAATGGGATGAACAGTTTGACATGGCCAATAATCCCTTTCTCCAGGACATGAGTGAGGCATGTGAGTATTAGGGGGCTCTGCCTCCAGCCAGGTGGAGGATAAGGGATAACTGTGTTTACTGGACTGTGCAGATTCGATGGCCTGGCACATCAGAGCCACAGGAGTACAGAGCTCTAGTAGACACAGGCGCCCAGTGTACCCTCATGCCACCAAGCTATAGGGGGGTACAGCCAATCAGTATTTCTGGTGTGACTGGGCGCTCTCAACAGCTGACTGTCTTGGAGGCTGAAATAAGCCTGACTGGGAAGGAGTAGCAAAAGTACCCCACTGTGACTGGCTCAGATGCCCTGTGCATCACTGGCATCGACTATCCTCAAGAGAGGGTATTTTATGGACCCGAAAGGGGACTGGTGGGCTTTTGGTACAGCTGCTATAGAGACTGAGGACATTGAGCAGCTGTCTGCCTTGCCTGGACTCTCACAGGACCCTTCTGTTGTGGGATTGGTAGAGGTTGCAGACCAACAGGTGCCAATTGCTACCACAAGAGTGCACTGGCAACAGGATCGCACTAACCAAGATTCTTTGCTTCCCATCCAAAAGTTGATTTGTCAGCTGGAGAGCCAAGGGGTGATCAGCAAAACCCGCTCACCCTTTAACAGCCCCATCTGGCCAGTGTTTAAGTCTAATGGGGAATGGAGACTAACAGTTGACTATCATGGCCTGAACGAAGTCACACCACCGCTAAGTGCTGCCGTGCTGGAACTCCAGTATGAACTGGAGTCAAAGGCAGCCAAGTGGTATGCCACAACTGGCATTGCTAATGCCTTTATCTCCATTCCTTTGGCAGCAGAGTGCAGGCCACAGTTTGCTTTCACCTGGAAGGACATCCAATACACCTGGAATCGACTGCCCCAGGGGTGGAAGCACAGTCCTACCATCTGCCATGGACAGATCCAGACAGCACTGGAACAGGGTGCAGCTCCAGAACACCTGCAATATGTTGATGTCATCATTGTGTGGGGCGACACAGCAGATGGAGTTTTTGAGAAAGGGAAGATCATCCAATTTCTTCTGAAAGCTGGTTTTGCCATAAAACAAAGGTTAAGGGACCTGCACAGGAGATCCAGTTCCTAAGAATAAAATGGCAAGATGGACTTCTCCAGATCCCAACGGATGTGATCAACAAAATAACAGCTATGTCCCCACCAACGAGGAATAAGGAAACACAAGCTTTCCTAAGCATTGTGGGTTTCTGGTAGATGCATATTCCAAATTACAGCCAAATTATAAGCCATATATGTAAGGTCACTATGCAGCGACCCAGAAGAAAAACGATTTCAAATGGGACCCTGAGCAGCAACAAGCCTTTGAACAGATCAAGCAGAAGATCATGCATGCAGTAGCCCTTGGACCAGTCGGGACAGGGCAAGATGTAAACAATGTACTCTACACTGCAGCCAGGGAGAATGGCCCTACTTGGAGTCTCTGGCAGGAAGAACCAGGTGAGACCCAAGGTCGACCCCTAGGATTTTGGAGCTGGGGATACAAAGGATCTGAGACCCATTATACTCCAACAAAAAAGAGATACTGGCAGCTTATGAGGGAGTCAGTCTTTCTCAGAAGTGGTTGGAACTGAAGCACAGCTCCTCCTGGTACCTCGACTACCAGTGCTGGGCTGGATGTTCAAAGGCAGAGTCTCTTCCACTTACCATGCCACTGATGCTACATGGAGTAAGTGCATTGCCCTGATAACACAACTAACCCCCATAGGGAATCCCAGTCACCCAGGAATCTTAGAAGCAACCATGGACTGGCAGAGAGTAAAGATTTTGGAATGTCACCAGAGGAGGAGGTGATACAGGCTGAAGAAGCCTCTTTGTACAATCATTTACTGGAAAATGAGAAGCAATATGCCCTGTTTACTCATGGGTCCTGCCGCATTGTAGGGAA